CCCAGGGCCTAAGAATAGCCCTCCGTTTCAGGCTGGAAAAACTCTGGGTCTGAAAGACCCAGAAATAGGCTGAAACGGAGTAGGGCCTGCAGGCCCTCGTTTTTCAGTTTTCAGGCTGAAACGGAGTAGGGCCTGCAGGCCCTCGTTTTTCAGTTTTCAGGCTGAAACGACCGGGGCCTGTAGATCCTAAGTTTTAGGCTTTTAGGCTGAATGTCCGGGACGGGTCCTCTAGGGCCCGTGTGGTTACGCAGTATGCCACAGGCACACTTGCACAAATATATATAGTTTTTTCAATCTAAAAACAAAGGTAAACGGCAGAAAAGCTGAGAAAACAACATACCTAACACAGAAGGCTCCGCCAGCAAGAAAGCACCGACCAGAGGCAGCATAGTCCGAAAAAACTTGGAGAGCCCTTCGAGTCAGCCCACAAGCACAGCAGCACTGGCACTCCTATTCCTCCCAAACAACCCACTCACACCACCACTATCCCTATCACTCCATGGCTAGACAGTCCCCATCTACTGTCTAGCCTCTAGAGTGTATAGAGTACCATAAACCCAAGACCACAAGATCCTCACGAGACACCAGGAGGGCTAATTCTTAAAACACCCTGGAAGTCCCCGTTTCTTCCATATGCTCCAAAAGAGCAGGCCATGGGAATGGCACCCACAGGGCCATGGAAAACACTGTGTGTGTGTGTGTGTGTGTGTGTGTATGTCTATTTGGGTGTAAGGTTTGAATGACATAGCAATAGAATATACGGATTAGGGAGAGGGCACTCTCACAATCGGTCAGTGAGTCAATCTCAAACAGCAGATCGGGGAGTATGGGAATGTCGCAAGATCGAGGGACTGGATTTCGGGGAGCCTGAGGGGGCTGACCAGTTTGAGCGAGAGGATTGATCGATCAGAGAAGTTGTTTCAGGCAGGGCACTCTGCCAATCAGCCATTCAATCGACAGCACTTAAAAAAAAGAAAAAGGGGAAAACGGATGCAATTGCGTTGACAAAACGCATGCCAGTCGGTCAGTGAGTCGATTGTTAAAACAATAAAAAGGGAAACACATGTCAATCAATCAACCAATCATATTTTGGTGAGGGTTCTCTCTCTCTCTCTCTCTCTCTCTCTCTCTCTCTCTCTCTCTCTCTCTCTCTCTCTCTCTCTCTCTCTCTCTCTCCCCTTGCCTCCTCGCTCCCCCCCCCCCTCCCTACCGCTTCCCCAGCAGTTTGGATCACATCGCAATAGAATGAAAGGAAGGGACCACGCAGAAGGCTTGGTTGGTGCAGGAAAAGCACAGCAGGGAGGTGGGTATGTCGAAGGAGCGACGGGATCTCGGGTATTTAAAGAGCCAAAGCATGCCTTCAAAGGAAGGCTTCCAATCAATCAACCAATCTATCAGTCAGTCCGTGAACGTACCTTGCACAGGCCTCTCTCGCAATGGGTCAATGAGTCAATCATGAAAAGAGAAAAAGGAAAACGCATCTTGATCAATCAATCAATCATATTTCGGGAAGCTCTCTCTCTCTCTCTCTCTCTCTCTCTCTCTCTCTCTCTCTCTCTCTCTCTCTCTCTCTCTCTCTCTCTCTCAGCAGAAGGTTTGGAGGGCATGATTTCGGGGAGGCTAGGGAGTTCATATGGGAGAAAAGGGAAGCAAGGAATGTTCCTCCACAATCTTTGTGCGCTCCTTCCACTTCCTTTCCACAAAACCCCACTTTGCGGCCCGGGTGTAGCCTCGGCGGATCTGCTTGTTTATTTTTAAAAGAACAAGTGGACGCGCCGCAGCCACACTGCGGCATTGCGGAACACTTTTTTTTTTTTTGACGTGCTGTTTGGTACCCTCTCTCTCTCTCTCTCTCTCTCTCTCTCTCTCTCTCTCTCTCTCTCTCTCTCTCTCTGTGTCTCCATGTTGTAGTGGTAGATT